ATGCAGCCACCACCTCTAAAATTATAATGTCCTTCACCTTTTGTGGCCTATTTTTAGAAAAGAATGATATAAATGAACAGATGATTAAATCTATTTATGCAGTGGAACAGAATAATGATAGTTAGACCAAACATACATAGCAAACTATAGAATAGTGATTTGAACTGAGAAAAATTTCCTTAATCAGTTAACTGAACTCAATTATTTAATTTAACCGATTGCCAATCGGTTAAGATTAACTATCTACGACCATCAGAAATTTTCAGTGCTTTACTCAAATTTTTGTCTTGTCTTTATGTTTGTTCATTTTCTTTTCGGAACTTTTCGGTCCCTTTACTCTCTCCTTACGTCATTTTCATATTATATCGATTCTGCCAATCGATCGCCCAATTTTCAACCGGTTGTTTTGGCTCAACCAATTAAGAATTTCCTTAACCGGCTAACCGAAATTTATTCAGTTCGGGTCGATTAACCGATTATAGCCCAACTGATTCAAATCACTACTATAGAACCCTTCATAGCTATAAGAACTGAGTTTAAAATGGCGAGTGATTCTACAGAAGAAATTTTATTCAAATTATCACCAACACTATTAGACTCCTATGATTTGAACATATGCTATAATCAATATCTTAATCACTATTAATTACCTTTACTAAGAGAACTACAAACCATTAATTCATTTAGACAATATTTAATATTAAACAATGCTAAACACCTTGCAAGTTACCTCCTTATTACAGTTAACAGTGATAGATCTGAAGCTCATGTATACTTACCTGATGATCCTAACATATTATCAAATTATTATATTTTCTCTGTGTTATATGACTCAGATGATATTTCATTAAGATCCAAACCAAACACATCTACTTTATCTCTACTCCATCTACTTCTAAACATCTAAATAACAATCAAGACCAACCTCTCAACTTGTCTATCTGCACTCACAATGTTTGAGGATACAACACGGACCTTAAACAACAAATTTGTGAAAACTACTATCTTTCTAATAACCTTAATATTATAAGTATAACAGAATCTAAGATCCCACAGGAAAATGCTCAAACTAAACTCCAAAAATTCAGAAATTTTACCTACTCTTGGTTTTGTACAGATAGTACAAAAACAGACACTGCAATTATATTAAGAAACTGGCTTAAACCTCATGTCTACAAGATACTTACTTTTCCTGAATATGCAGTTGCAATTGACATTCTTTTTAAACATAATTTCTGATTCAGAATTATTTCAGTTTATTTACTCTGTGATAACCTTCTAGTATAACTTAAAGTCCAAAATACTGTTATTTAATAGCTACAATCCGCTACATCAAACAATTTTCAGGCTATTGTTATAAGAAATTTTAATGCTTTTAATAACAATATATAGTCTACATCTATTAAATATAAGTTACTCCAATTAATGAATATGTATTAGCAATGATATAATACAAATAGGTCTTTTACTATTATGTACTTTTTTTACTTCATAATACTTATAGATTTACAATTTACAATTTTCTATCACCAATGAAAAATAAGCAGTGTTTGAAGAACAGAGATGTCTATGATAAGCAACTAATTATATTGAAAAGTCTGGACCTTTACTGGGAAAGTAAAAATGTTAGGGATGTAAAAATGTTAGGGATGTAAAAATGTTAGGGATGTGAAGTGTTGGGATGTAGAAATGCAAGGATGTGGAAATGTCAGGGATGTGAAATGTCAGGGATGTGGAAATGTCAGAAGTGTGGAAATGTTGGGATGTGAAAATGTTGAGGAATGTGGAAATATCACGAATGTGGAAATGTTGAGGAAGTAGTTAATGTCAAAGAAGTAGTTAATGTCAGGGACTAATTAATGTCAGGGAAGTAGTTAATGTTGAGGCAATAGTTAATGTTGGGAAAATAGTTAATGTTGGTGAAATAGTTAATGTTGGAGAAGTAGTTAATATTGGGGAAATAGTTAATGTTGAGGAAGTTGTTAATATCAGTGAAATAGTTAATGTCGGGAAAGTAGTTAATGTCAGAGAAACATATTGTTGGAAAAGTTGTGTCAGGGAAGTTTTGTTGGGAAAAAAATGTATGTTAGAGAAGTGTTGTTGGGAAAAAAATTTATGTCAGAGAAGTGTCATTAGGTAAAAAATTTATGTCAGGGAAGTGTCGTTGGGCAAAAAATTTATGTCGAGGAAGTGTTGTGGGTAAAAAATTTTAGTGGAGATGGTTGTTAGGTAGATGGCTGTCAGAAAAATATCAGGGAACCAGTAATCAAATTATGAAAACTTATACAAAGTTAAATTGAGAAAGGGGGAAAAGGGAGGCTATTTATAATGTTTTTGGACTATGTAGATGTTAATTTAATGTCTACCTATCATGTGATGCATATAAGGTTACATGGTATATTACATGTTACATTTAATTTAAATTTTATTATACTAATTAGTAAGTTTTAGAATGTTTATCAAAAATTCTTAATTACTAAAAAGTTTACTATATCTAGCTTATTAAGACAATAATGTTCTATGACCTAAAATAGGGGGGTTTGCTAATAAGTAGTAATAGGTTTTGCATTAGTTTTCGAGATATTAGCTTTTGAATATGAACATTCTCTATACTCACTCATTAATTACTAATATATATGACATAAATGATAATAATGATAGTACCAATGATTATAATATATAATGATAATATATTAAAATATTAATAAAAATATAATAAGAATATAATAAAATATAAGAAAAAGAAAAGAAAAGAGAAAAAATATTAAAATTTGATGAAATTTTGAGGTACTACACTATTTTATCTGCACAATTCTTTGGAAGAATTATATGCAACCAATTCAAATTTAATGCTAATTACATTGATCTTATATTCTCCACAGCAATCAAATATCTACTACCAAATTCTACTTTATCAGCACTTCCTACTTTTCCTATAATAGACTCAATTGCTACTTTAATCTTTTATCCAAGTGAGCTGACAACCAAACTTGAAGAGATATCTATCAATAACTTGAACTCCAACTTATTTAATTTCTATACTGATAGATCTGTTATCAATATTGGTATTGAACACTGTACAATAGATATAAGCTGGGTTCAAGTTAATAATAATAACTAAATTCAATTTAATGCTCAAATTAAGTTTTGGCTATCTTCTTACAAAGCAGAACTTCTGGCTATTCTATCAGCAATTTCAACAACTCCTCATAATTCTACAATTAACATTTATACAGATTGCCAATTTATTATTTCTAAATATCAAAAACTCATATCTCCTACTTTTAATTTAAATTAACTTTTTAAATTTAATGTATGGCCAATATGGCATATACTTTTAATATCATAAAATCCTATTGATTAGATATAACTTTTTATAAAATTTAGGCCTATAGACAATAATTTTAATAATTTAGCAGACACCCTAGCTAAACAATACATAATTGTCCTATACCTTAATTTTAATTACATTAATATTCATAATCTATATCATATTTTATAGTGTGAAGATGAACAATTCTTTGTTAAACAACCTATACGATCCTTTATTAAAACTATTTGCAAAGCTCATATCCTAGCAATGTGGTCATCTCAACAACACAATGAAGAATAGTCCCAAACCAACTGCAAAATTGATTGATGGTTAATCTGGTTATATTTTAACTATAACCACAAACCTAATTATAATATTACAAACTTTAAATTAAATCAACTCAAATCTTTCAAACTCAAAATACTACTCAAAGAACTATCTACTCATTTTTTCTACTATACTCTTTATTCAACTATCTTTCAGAATATTAACTGTTTCTACTGTGTACATTAGATTTATTTTTATACTGGCTTAACTATTCTAATTTAACACTACTTCTGCATATTATTAATATATGTACTACTAATTATATTAATTCAGTTGAATTAGATTTGTTACAAGGCCAAAAAGCTAAATTTATCTACCAAATTCAGCATCTTGGGACATTTAACTTTGTAGCAATACAACCTTCCTCACATTACTTAGAACTTACACTTAAAGGTTTAATCCCAACTCTATAGTTCAAACAGTTCAAGACTTTGGCATACTCTATAAACAAGCATCTCATATCATTATTGAATTGTTCCTTAAAATTAATGAACAAATATATAAACAACTTTGGAAGCCCTACTTTATTAACTTCTCTAATTGAAGAAAGCAGCAACAAATAACATATTCCTATTATAAACCTAAAGAGATACCACCAACTACTCATAGAAATAATCACTCTTATATAAACTATACTTTCTCCTGTCTATATAGCACAGCAGATCAACTATACTCTCACTCAGGTACCTGTCCTCCCTTGGGTCAAGCTATATAAAAAATTGGTATCTGGTATAAATACTGGATCAAATATAGTTTTACTTTAAATTTTATTCCAACTTTAAAAATCTAGGTGAGTCTTTGACCACTCTAGTGGGTTTAATTTGCAGATAAATATATCTAAGCTTTTATTCTTGCATGTAATTTTTATTTTTATTTGTATTTGTACAAGTAGTAGTATTTCTATATAACTTTTATGTAGTTACTATTCTCAAAATTACTAATAAAGATATGAGCAAGGTCTCACCTCAATACCAAAAAAAAAATAATAAATTATATATTCTCAAATGCTACACCTAAGGAAAATATTTTTTCTTATTAAGCTAATTGATCTTCTGTATTAAGAGAAAGTTGTAGAACTCATTAAGATGCATCTAATGGTGGTTGGATCATCTAAATCAGTCTAGTGGATGTTGAGATATTATTAAAAAAAACATGTCAATAACTATATAAATTTTTATAAAAACAAATTATTTCTATAGAAATTTTACATAGTTATTAACATGTTTTTAATGATATCTCAACATCCACTAGGCTGATTTAGATGATCCAACCACCATTAGATGCATCTTAATAAGTTCTACAACTTTCTCTTAATACAGAAAGTCAATTAGCTTAATAAGAAAAAGGTTTTCTTGTGTGATTGTAGTATTTGAGACATATATAATTTATATAGTAATCTGAGTCATGTTATACTATATGTTTTGTTCTGTTAACTCACAGATCATTAATTAAAGAAATTTTATAATATAGTTTCTGCAATCAAATTTAATTTCTTTTTGTAAAAAGAGTTTTCTTACTATTGTATTAGTATATAAGATAAATTTTAGTAAGTTAAAAAAATTTTTGCATAACTTCCTTAACTTGAATATTTTAATAAAATGTTTTTCGTATAAATTTTTCCTATGTTAACTGTTTAATAATTATTGTGGCAGATTCAATGAAATCAGATTAAAATGAAATAAAAGATAGTGTAAAATAGATAAGCTACTAAAAAATACAAATTTTTGGATGCATTTTTTTAGTATTTTTTTTAGAGCTAGGATTAGAAGCAGGTTTTATAATAAACAAGTATAAGTAGTTTTAGAGAGTCAGATAGAAATCTCTTATTTCATTTTAATCTGATTTAATTATGATCTGTGACAGATATATAATATAAGTTAATTTCATTTTCTAGTTTAAGTAACTCATAAGTAAGGCCTCAGTCCTATGAAACTCTGTCATTTTATTACTAGTTAAAATTTCTATGGGGATGGCAATAGGCCAAATACTTATATATCAACATTCTAGAAATGGAAGCTGGATTTAGTCTCAAATAGTGTTTGAAAACAGATTAAAAATCCTAGTTAATCCAGGATTGATCTGAATCCAATCCAAATCCATAATTCAAATTGAATCCAGGAGTGTTCCATGCCAATCCGACGGTTTGTTACATATTTTTGTCATAATATAAGTGATAAATTTTAATTTATCATGTGACAAATGCGAATTTATCACTTATATTGTGGCACAAGGTGTAATATATTCGAAGTTATCACGTGACAAATTCGAATTTATCACATTGAGTGATTATATAAAGACATGACCTAAAATTAGGCCCAATACTGCTCAATCCAGGCCCAATCCAACGTTTCAGGGACCAAACCTAATCTGACGGTTTGGATCCGCACAAATCCAAATCCGATCTATGCTGACTTTTTCGAACACTAGTCTCAAATTAGTAGAGTATGGAAAGGTCTTCCAAACTCAAGGCCTATTACAGTTAATACAATTTGTTTAACCAGTTAAATTTTATACTTGCCTTTCTGAAGTTAAATTCTATTTATAAATATTATAGTTTGTGTTGTTTTTATAATCTCTTCATTTAGTTTATGATTATAAATTGCACACAATGCTGAGTGGAAATGACTTTAATTGACACTTTCACAGATAATTTTGGTGGTTATATTAATCTTGTAACTGAAGTTGGTATCAGACTAAAGTTGGACCTTCATGTGCCTGAAGTTGTATCTAACTGAAATTAACCCCTAAAATTAGATCATCCTATATGCATTAGTTAGCTGTTTTAGGCAGATGCCAACTTCAGGCACCTGAAGTTCTAACATCAGGCAGATGCCAACTTCATACAACATCTATTAGTTTTTCACTCTAATTTCATGATTTAAGTTTCAAAATTCATAAAAATGCATAATCATATTCAAATATTACACTGTATTATAATGTTATTATTTTTTTATATTTATATAACAGGATATGTCTGATGAGTGTGCCTGAACCTATCACTACTAAAAATTTAATAGTAATGTAATTTTTGCTTTCAAAACATTAATTATTTATAACATTTTGTGAAATTTCTAATTTATTATTATCTAGAAGGCAAATTTTATTTTTATTCTTGTATGATTTGATTATAGAGCCAGTCTTTAGCTGAGTCTTTGGTTGAGTCTTTAGTCGATTATTTGGTTGAATCTTCAGTTGAATCTTTATTTGCATCTTTGTTTTTAATGATTTTTTTGATTTCAGAAAGTAAATTTTTTAAAATTTCATTATCTTTAAATTCAGAGATTTCTTTGATTTTGGGAATTTAATTTTGTAAAATTTCATCTTCATGTTCAGCTTTAAGATTATATATTTTTTAAGTTCATGAACTGAATCCTCATAGTACCTAAACATTTAAATCATATATTACTTTATAAATAATATTTGCAATATAAATAAATCATAATAATTACAAGATTTTTGGAAACCAGTTTTTCTTTCTTCTTTAATGGGAAAGCATCCAAAAAAGTTCAATTTCAGCTAATATCTAGTAATAATATGATTATTTTAATTTTTAAATTATAATTTACAGTATTT